CTCGTGCCAGAGCACTTAACCGATAGACCACTGAGCCAGCATCCAACGGTGTTAATTTCTTATTATAAGATTATCCAATTGAATAGTCTTAATCTGTATCTAAGTAATTCAAGCAATTCAACTTTCTGATTTGAATGATCTTAGTTACTTGTTTGATATGAATGGTAGAATCAGTGAAATAGTTGCCAAGAGACTAGATCATTATTATATAACTCATCAAAATCAATGAAACCTGTAGAAATGATATCGATTTACTAACATACTTCATTAAAATTCTAGAAATAAAATCTTAAGAACTTTACACTGAATAGCTTATAACAAGAATCCTATTGTTATCTCAATATGCAAACATTGAATATTAATGAAATTTCGCTATTATGAGCAGACTTATATCAAAATAGAATGAATAAAAGTACAGTTAGGTTGATCATAATAAATATCCGTAGATAATGACCGTAGCCCTCAAAATGCCCTGGTACAGACGAGAGTGTGGAGAGTCAGCTCTCTCTCTCTCCCAATGCTCTCACATAGCCACGTGCATACAAGCACTACCACGGAAGTCTTACTCACTGACTTCGCAAGGCATTACTGTTGTCTATAAAATTGAGAGGATGGAAAGTGAATGTCTGACGCTTTAACAGGATTAATGGATACGGAAGATCTACCTAAGGGAGTTGGAAAACCCTCATTGCAAACCAGTGGTGTACATGGGTTCCAGGATCCTGATGAAACGAATGGCGTATGAACCTAATGTTGATCACCGGCTACCATGGGACTGCATCTCTTAACGTTTCTCCACTACCTTATGGATTAGACCTTTAAATCAAAGGCTTGGGGTGTGGCTCCCTAAGAAAACCACCTGTTTCGGTTTGAGCTTCCAGGTAGTATCCCAGCCCTCACATAAATCGGACGATTTATGCGGCACATATCTATTTGATGCCTCCTTGTATCAATGTTTATGTGTTTAAACGAACAAATATCCGTAGAGACTTTCTGTAAGGTAGCCCATTTCTATGATATAATGAATGCTTTCTATTTTAGGGGCATGTTAAGTTATATTGGCAGTCCTTAGGAACTTACCATTACTAAAATGAATCAATAATCTTACATTTTTCATACGATGTCAAGCTCATATCTTTAAAGCTCATTAAGATTAAACATTATCATTTATTAGCATAGAGATTTAAAGGACTCAAATGAAAGACATCCGATTGAGGTTTGAACCACTCCACCTGAATGGTTTAGTTTTCTTCGAAAGCAAAATCGCAGATGTGACTAGAAGTTAAGTACAAAAGCGTGTACGTCTCAACAGACATAAGGACTTGTTATATCCCAATAACAATAGTGAATGGTAACTTTGGGATCCATTTATGGACCAATATTATGAATATAATTTTTATCGTATATTTGCTAAATAATTAAACTATTCATATTCATGTCCCTCTTATTATAAGCTTTATTTTGACCCATAGACTAGTACTATACGATTTACCATTCTTGAGTTATCCCTAGTCTATTAATTGTTGCCTCCCATATTCAGAGCCACATTTGGCTAACTCTTGTACAAATGTTATTGTCTATTTTATTGATACGATGTGGTCAGTCTGTTTGGTATAGAAACTCAGTATGTTTGAAATACAATGATTCATACCTTTAGAGGCTGTTATTGGTGTTCTGGACTTAATTGGCTGGGCTAGGCAGAAGCAGGATCGATAAGCACTCTAGACTGTTCATACGGTTTCCGTATGTCACTGTTTCAATCAATAATTCGCTACTCTCTGGTTGGCGGTTTTATCAAGTCATACATAAGTTGGGCATTCACTCGGCCACGAGTTATAACAGGATTCACAAATGCAAAATTTTGCACAAAAGTTATTCGTTTCATATGATAAAGTATCATGACAGAATAGAAATACAAAAGTGGAAGAATAAATTAAAAAACGCCAAAAATTTTAGTCAACAATGAAACTGATCTTGAGTCACACCACTTGAACTACCTAATCAACTACTGGTTTCTATCTTCCTGTAAACTCTATTCAAAATGTTAAAAACCAGGACTACTAATTCTTACGGCGAATGATTGGTTACATCTATGTTGAAGTTAACGGTATATAATACAGAGGATTTTAACACTAGGGCGTAACATCTATCCAGTGTTATCTGGTTTCCAAAGATACCCAATTGAGGTCAATCTGTAATGAACATAACCTATAAATGACTCATTTCTTAGACATAGACAAATAATAACTGGATTCATGTAACTCATGCCAAAAATTTCAACGTCGACTTAATTCTGTTAAAAAAAACTTATCAAATGTATTGCCTGAAAGAATCACCAGGTGAACACTCCTTTTCGTTACATAATGGATTCATAATAAAGTAAAGAGTTTAAAACAAGTAGAATCACACCAGTTGAATACTTAGAGTGTCTTTATTCATAGACAAAGATAAACTTTCTAACCTTATTGTTCTAATTATGTTTCTTAGGAGAAGATAAACAGTTTCTCTATATTCACTTGGTATTGTTTGTTTGAATCTTCCAATTGATGTTTAGGAATGCAATTGATCAATCTCTTATTGGCATATGTGTATACTGTGCGTATTGCCTCAATACGGCCTTAATTCATAAGTATTGTAAGCAAAGGTGGATAGTGGCTAGCAGTGAAATCCAGTTTGATGAGCGTTTCGTCTCATTTGGGACTCGTCAGTTGGATGTGCCTGAATCTCAGAGTTGATGTTCATCCCATTGCACAAGCAAGTGGCTATCAGGACTCAGTAGCTGATTGGATAATGCGATCACGTTTGAAGCGAAAGGTACTGGTTTCGAGTTCCAGGATAAACACCAGCTCTGAGATGCAGGTACATCCAGTTGACGAGGCCCGAACGGGATGAAACGCGCGTCAAACTGGATTCCACTGCTAACCACTATCCATCTTGGTAATAAATTTTCTCTATAGGTTTATTAAATTCCTTGAATAACAGGTTAAGAATAAAATTGAAACAAATCAATAAAAAAAGCATCCAACTTGTGGTTAAAACTTGGATTCACAGGGAATTACTTCCATATTGAATAGACAGTTAAAATCTCTTTTAACTTAAAGTTTAATGACTTAAAATTAAATCACAGATACCGATAACATAGTAAAAGGTTTACTGATTTTAGACGTCAGTCATTCAGTCAGTCACAACGTAGAACTTCGTACATACGTACATCAGTTCGAGTTACCATACCACATTAGCACGCAGATGCAGTTGTCAATTCAAATCCCATAGTGGTAGAAGTAGTAAGAGTATAAGCATTATGTGAAAGATTAGGGTTTGAAGATGTTATTCAAGGAGTATAATCCAGTGAAATAAAGAGAAAAAAGAAATGGACATGAAGAATTCAGAAGATTAGAATTTGTCAGAACACAAAGAGTCGACGCACCTTCGCCATTACAAACGATTTTGAACTATGTCATTCATGATCTCTAACCATCGATTTTTATCATCTCGTGAATCCCAACCAAGTAGTCTACACCTACCAGTATGGCTCAGTCCATTTGTCAATGACTTCATGGATTTGGGCCACGTTTTGGTCTTGCCACCCCTAGTTTTCTTCCAACCTATTCCTACACCATAAAACATCGCAGGTAAACTGTGTGAAATTTGTTTGTGTTTTTTTTTCAGAAAATATCTTCAGTCTACTTTTATTCCATGAGATTACAACTTTGATACATAGATCCATATGAATCAATATTGTTAAATTAGAGAACTTAAATCTAGACACTCTTTGATTATTAAAATAAAATTCATTTACGGATATAATTACACTCCATTTACAATGTGCAAATCAAAATCCTGAATTAATGGAACCTAAGACTGTTTTCCTCAAACTATGATCTTGGTACCTAGTTAAGATTAAACAAACTAGATGACAACTACGATCAGATTGTATTGGACAGAATACAATTAATGGGTCTATATTGTGTCATGATTGAATGAGGTTGTAGTGGTCGATATTCATTATTATCCTTAAACTTCGTTAATTGTTCGTCCTGATAACCTTTACTAGGTAACGTCTCAACAGTGTATAAATCAGAAGGCGAGTACGAAGTGTTGATTGCTTTTATTATTGAGCCACGCACATATTGCCAAAATTACAGACACGTTAAGCAAGCATGATAGAGTAGTGCCGTAAAGCAAGCGAGTGATCAAGTTAATGAATGAGTGTGCAAGTCAACAAGTCAACGAGTCCATGAGAGCCTTTAAACAGATCTTTAATTTCATAGAATAAGCTCACTAACTTAAAATGAGAATTATTTAGAACTGAAATAAACTATCATCATAGTTCTCGAACAAACATCAAATAACTGAATCGCCTACCGACAGGAAAGTCACCGAGACACATTACCTAAATTATGAAAACATATAAATATACAGTTAAACATTCTAAAGTCTAGTTTAACAATATAGTAAGCCCCCAAATGCCCTGGTACTGCCGAGAGTGAGGAGAGTCCACTCTCCCTCTCAAAATGCTCTCACATAGGCACGCGTATATAGCCTCTCCCACACAAGTCCTACTCATTGCCTTCTCCTGACTTTACTATTGTTTACGAAATTCAGAAGGTGAAAAGCCAATATCCAGCGTTTTAATCAGCTTGGTGGACACGGAAAGTTCACCTGGAGGAGTTGGAAAACCTTCATTCCAAACCAATGGTGCACATGGGCTGACTTTAGTATCCTGAGGGAACAGATGGCGTATGAATCAATTGTTGGTCACCGGCTACCATGGGATTGCATCTCCTAACGATGCTCCACTACCTTTTGGATCAGATCTTTAGGTCAAAGGCTCAGGGTGTGGCCCCTTAAGAAAACTATCTGTTTTAGTTTGGGCACCTGGGCAATATCACAGCCCTCATACAAATGGAGTGAAGTATGTATCTGGTACCCCTTTGTATCAATATTTATATGTTTAAATAAATAACAACAATAATAATATTTATTATCAATAAACATACCTTTTCAAGTTGTGATGCTAATTTCTCATTTAATACATGCATTTCTTTACGACTTTGTTCACGTGCTTCACGACAATTTCTTGCTTCTGGTAAATCCATTGTTAATGTATTTCTAGCTAAACGATCTAATGAACTAAGACTTTCAGTTTTAGATCGCCAAACTTCTTGTGACATAATTGATAATAATATATAAGTATCAAGTATATAATGTAAACTGTATCTTAGCAACCAAAAAAAGAATTTTTTTCTTTTTATTTAAAATTCAAATATCCACATGTTTCTAGAATCATTTAAATTTTTAAAAAATCAAAATTTAAAAGATTCAATATTCAACTGAGTAAATATCAAATTCTATTCTCTTTTATGGGATTAACTCATCTCAAGGTCAAAGATGACCACATGATCTGCTCACTGATTGGTTGATAATCAATTGATTTATTGATTTTTTTTTAAATTTTTTTAAAATACAAAAAAGGTTTAATGTTTAAATCCAATGGATAATTAGTTTTATTTTAATTGAATATTCTATTGGTTCAGGTCAATATTGTATATTGACAAATGAAATGATTGTATAATAATTCTAGTAGTTTTATAGTTGAGATCATGAATCAATTGAAGCTAGATCATCATGGAAAACTCGGAATCACTGGACAGTCATTTCGTCCTATTGTGGGACTCATCATCAGTGTGCATTTACGATCCCGCCTTGCGAGATTCCAACCTAGGACCTATCAGTTTCGCTAGTGAACGCTTATTCAGTAGACCATTGAGTTGGACGACATCCAACTATGTTAATGTATAACTTCAACTAATCCACCGAATTGAGCGACACATTCACCAATGTTTTCAACGAGTTACTATCTCATAACAGACACGGTTGAACTCTACTGATCACTGCTTCTCAATAGAACTCCATGAAATACCTCTTGAAACCAGTTACTAGTGAGTATATGTTAATTAATACCAGACGTAATTTTTGTGGATATTAATTTTAATAGATGAATTCATGAATCAATTGAAGTCAGTTGATAGGTCTTGGGTTTGAATCTCACGATGCAGGATCCAATGGATAATTAGTTTTATTTTAATTAAATATTTTGTTGGTTCAGGTCAATATTGTATATTGACAAATGAAATGATTGTATAATTGTAATTGTAGTCGTTCTATAGTTGAATTCATGAGTCAATTAACTCATGGGCACACCTTGAGGAAAACAGCCAACTGTGTCACAAGACAAGCCCTCACATGGAATCCTGAAGGTCAAAAGAGAAGAGGAAAACCAAAGAATACATTAGGATGAGAAATAGAGACAAATATGAGAATGAACAACGATTGGATAGAACTAAAAAGGAAGGTACAGGGCAGATTGGGTTGGAGAATGCTGGTCAGCGGCCTATGCTCCATTGGGAGTAACAGGTGTAAGTAAGTATGAGTCAATTGAAGCTAGATCATTACGGAAAACGTGGAAACACTAGACGACTGTTTCATCTTAGTAAGGGACTCTTCAGTAGTGTATATTTACGATCCCGCCTAGCGAGATTCCAACCTAGATGAAATTGTATATTGACAAATGAAATGATTGTATAATAATTCTAGTAGTTTTATAGTTTAATTCATGAGTTAATTGAAGATAGATGATCATGGAAAATCCCGGACAGGATAATGGGTGCGTACTGTTGAAGAGTCTTGTACTAGGACGAAATCGGTCATCCAATACTTCCAAGTTTTTCATGATGTTCTAGCTTCAATTGGCTCATGAATTCAACAATTAAATTATTATACTATCCACAAAACTTTTCTCTGAATATATATGGATTTCAACGGTTAAGATCATGAATCAGTTTAAGATAAATCACCATGGAAAACTCTGAAGCACTTGACGGTCGTTTCATCCTATTGTGGGACTCTTCAGTAGTATGTATTTACAATCACGCCTAGTGAGATTCGAACCCAGGACCTATCAGTTTCGCTAGTGAACGCTTATTCAGTAGACCACTGAGTTAGACGACATCCAACTATGTTAATGTATTACTTCAACTAATCCACCGAATTGAGCGACACATTCACCAATGTTTTCAATGAGTTACTATCTCATAACAGACACGGTTGAACTCTACTGATCACTGCTTCTCAATAGAACTCCATGAAATACCTCTTGAAGCCAGTCACTAGTGAGCATATGTTAATTAATATCAGAAGTGGTTTTCGTGTAGAGATCTTAGTAATTTTATGGTTGAATTGATGAGTCAGTTGAAGTCAGTTGATAAGTCTTGGGTTGGAATCATTGATTCTCACTGCTGATCAGTCCCATAATATGATGAAACGATCGTTTAGTGTTTCCAGGTTTTCCACGATGATCTAGCTTCAATGGACTCATGAATTCAACTATTAAAATTACTATAATATTCACAAAACTCCCCTTCTGATTGTAATACTAATACAAGAAATATTAAACATGTTGACCATATCTGATAAGGGGGGGGGCATATACAGCTTATGTTTGTGTTTATATGTATTTGAAAGAAAGAAAAAAAAAAGAAAAACCCCGGGAAACTTGGTTTAATTTGGGCGTATTTCATTTTCTTTCAAAAAAGAAAATTTTTGTTTATTAATTGAATAAAATATCAGGACAATAATGAATATGAGTCATAAATAATTTAAACAAAAAAAAAGGGATAATGATGATGATTGAAAACGCCTGTCTGAAAGTTCAGATTCAGTAAAGATAATAAAATTGATTCAATGAATAATAATAATAATCATTTACAGAAGATAGATATTAATATCGTTGGATGTCAGTCGACGCAGTAGTCTAAAAGTTAAGAGTTCGTGCGCGAGACTGATAGATCGTGGGTTGGAATCTTGCTAGGCGGGATCGTGGATGTGTACTGTTGTGGCGCTTTACCCGGATTGATGAACACGGAGGGTCCACCTAGGGGAGTTGAAAAACCCTCATTCCAAACCAATGGTGCACATGGGCTGACTCCAGTATCCCGAGTGAACAAATGGCTTATAAATCAATATTGGGTTACCGGCTACCATGAGACTGCATCTCCTTACGTTTCTCCACTATCTTGTGGATCAGATATTTAGGTCAAAGGCTCTGAGTGTGGTCCCCTAAGAAAACCACCTGTTTTGGTTTAGGCAACCGAGCAGTATCCCAGCCCTCACACAAATGGAGTGAAGTGCGGCGCATATATATCTGGTGCCTCTTTGTACCAATATTTATGTGTTCAAATAAAATAACAATAAAATAACTGTTGAGGAGTCCCACAATAGGATAAAACGGTCGTCCGGTGCGTCGAGCTTTCCATGATCATCTAACTTCAATTAACTCATGGTCTGAACTATTGAAATTACTATAATATCCACAAAAACCACTTCTGACAATAATCAACATATGCTCACTAGCGACTAGTTTCAAGAGGTATTTCCTGGAGTTCTAGTGAGAAGCAGTGACCGATTGAGTTCAACCGAGTTTGTTATGAGATAGCAACTCACTGAAGACAGTGGTGGATGTGGATTGGGTGAAGTTAGATATTAACACAGTTGGATGCCGGCTGACTCAGTAGTCTAGAGGTTAATTGTTCACATTCGAGACTGATAGGTCCTAGGTTGGAATATTGCGAGGCGGGATTGTGGATTTGTACTGCTGTGGAGTTCCACAATAGGACAAAACGGCCGTTCAGTGTTTCCAGGTTTTCCAAGGTTGTTTAGATTCAATTGATTCATGATCTCAACTATTAAAATTCTACTTTAAGTAACTTTTGTCACTTCAAAGTAAAAACGTCTATAAAATTTACTAAATTCAATTTGGAGATGGATAAAGCATGATAAAAACTGAAGGACTGTTTAAATTATTATCCATGGAATGGAGTTTACATTTTTCTATAATTGTGACTTGTGATTTAATCAAATGATTAAGGATTCGGCAGTCTTCATTAATAAGGATAGTAGGTTGATGAACTTGTGTTAATCCTGACAGATTGCCTTTCACTGAAGGTCCAGGTTCTCCTTGAAAATGTTCACTGATGGGACTGATACCACATGTTCGGGCAATGCGTTCCAGTCATTGACCACTCGATGATAAAAATGGGACCCCACCATTGGTTTATTAGATCGCGGTTTGTAAGCCTTCACGCTATGACCTCGGAGAGTATCGGTGCTGGAGGGAGAAAAAAGGTTAGACATATTAACACCCAAATCATAATTAAAGATATGAAATGCCAGCATAAGTTCACCTAACGTCCTACGATAAGACAAGGGGAAAAGGTTTAGACGTTTCAAACGCTCATCGTAAGGGGGTTTAGAAAGACCCTTCACACGCTGGACACGCTCAAGTGATTTAGTATCCTTTATCAGACATGAGCTAGTTGCTTGAATACAGTACTCTAAGTGAGATATAAAATTCGAAACATCTCGTCTAAGCATTTAAATGCTCGGCGAAGTGAACATAAAGCACGATAACCTTTGGAAACAGCCGCGTTGCAGTGCGTAGTTGTTTTCAAGTCGTGACTTATTATTACTCCTAAGTCTTTATGTTCTTGACCGAGTGGAAGAGATGTACCATCGATGGTGTAATGGTAACTATTACCGTGCCCGATGTGCATAAGCACGCTCTTCCTGAAATTAACTTCCAAGCCCCAATCATGGGCCCATCTAACTAATTCGTCTCAGTCAACTTGGAGATGACAACGATCAGCCACACTTCTTATTGTTCTAGAGATTTTGACATCATCCGCAAACAATAATTTCGACGACTTAAGTAATAGGGGTAATTCATTAACATACAGAAGGAAAAGTAAAGGGCCCACGATTGTGCCTTGGGTAAACCACTTTTGACCGGCTTCCATTCGGATAGCATTCCATCGACTGACAGTGGTAACCGATTTACAGTGTACTTTGATAAAATGTGAAAACCATACATCAAAATACTTCATTGGCACATCTTCCATCAACTGTCTCTTCCATGGTTCATCATTCCTTCATTCCTGTTGTTATTATAATTACTTTCTGTTTAACTACCTATTCTCTCCCATTGATATAGTTAAGATTGTAAATCAATTGAAGCTAGGCCACCATAGAAAACCTGGAAGCACTGGACGGTCGTTTCGTCTTATTGTGGGACTCCTTAGCAGTGTGTATTTATGATCCATCCTTGCAAGATTACAAC